GACTTTTTTCTTTTTTTTTTTTTTTTTTTTTTTTTTTTTAATTGTAACTGATATATTTTTTTAGTTATAAAAATACCACTTTTATTTTATTTTATTTTATGTTTTTAAAATTGTGAAGACAATTATTTTCATTATTTTATTTACAAATTATTGTTTTTTTCTCAAACTTTTAAAGTGTATTATGTGAACTTTTTATTATTGTTAGATAAAAATGTATTATATGAAAAAAGTTGCTAAAGAAACCAAACATACGCTTTAAGGTGACATTATATTTATGCTTAGATGCTCTATAAATTTTTATTTATGTACTTAAGAGTTACAAATTTTTTTGAAACAACTTTCTTAATTTATACAAACCAATCCAAGTTTTTTGTTGTTGGGTTGAAGACACATACAATTGAGTTGGATGGGCCAGGTTTAATATCCCTAACCCTAACCCCAACCTAAACAAATTACTTCACCAGTGATATCTAAGAACAATTGATGTATCTGTATATCAGAATTTCAGAATCCATTAATTTGCAGGCGTTGGATGTAATTATTAAATATTGTGGGCATGAGATTTGTTACTTAAAATTCATAAATATGATTTTAATGTCTGTAAATATAGTGGTTTTTTTATGTTAGTTCTTTATTTTTTTTTATTTTAGCATTTATAATTTTTTTTTTGTAAAATGTTTCTATCATTAACAAATGATGATAAAAGCCCTTTATAAAATTCTTAAAATTTATAAGGACCATAACTGAAAAAAAGAAAATACTAAAATTAAAATTCTTCATATAACAAATATATTAAACCTATTTTTGCATTGTTTCATTAGTTTTAGTATCAGAAATGAGAGGGTGGATACAAATAACACTCATTTGATGTAGCAAAAGATTATAAGATATCAAAGAATAAAAGAGTACTATGAAAGTAACTCATTATGTAATTGATTGAATGATAAAAGATACAATAATAACGTATAAATACCCTATTTGTAGAGCTTATTTCAAACAAATTAATATTTCTATGAATTAATTATTCTTAACATTTTTTAGTACCCTGTCATTCAACTTTGTACCTCACTCTTTTATTGGGAAATAATCACCTGTAGTATTAAACATTGCCGATGGAAACATAAAAACAAAATGCACTTTAGTAGCTGCAAAAATAGATCAAGTTAGTACATTGCTCATGGTTGATTCCATGTTAATAAATCAGTTATAGTTCCCAATTATTTAGCAATAGTAATTCTTTAACATTGATGTCTGCTGAACTCTATTTGATTTCAAACTGTTAATTATCATCGTTGTGTTCAAAACTGGCAAGGAATTAGTATTGTCATTTGATTTCCATTCAGCAAAACTGTACTGAGTTTACACACGTATAGTTTAAGTCTGTATATTGAACAAACATACGAATGCACTCATCATATATTCATATATGTTTTGGAAATAGATTGCATTTCTGAATCAACCCGGATATGACTAAGGAATGCCACGGAAGTTATTCTAGAACTAAAAAACTATTAAGAGGCATTCTCAAATACTACTTTCGTTATTATATATAAGAAATAAATGAGTCTTATTTTGATCCTAATTATAAAAATACATGAGTCGACTTTTAAATGTATTATTTAGTAATTTTCTTTTAAAAGTAAAATTCAATAAAACAGCATAGGATTGAAGCATCATTTCTTTCACCACACCTGTTCGGAATCTACACTGAAATTGCAACTGTCTAGAACCCAATATTGATGTGTAATGTGTTTCATCTGCATATATTTTTGAACCAACGTTTCATCAAAAGATTGAAGTTGAAAATTTTAACATGTAACACTGTTGCACTGGTTGGCCCGAGACAATTAAGGAAAGAGGAATATAAAAAATGCCATCGAAAGAACCTTAATGTTAATCATGAAGGAGAAGATACTTGGTCAATAAAATCCTGCTAAAGAGGTGGCAATTTTAACAAAATCTTACTAAGCAAAGCTTGATATGTATATATCTTTTTCAATAAATTCAAGAATTGGTCCATATTTTCAGAAGGTGCCATTTGCAAATTACCATTTCCGTACGCATTACTTGCCCAACTTAATAATGCAGTAGCAGTAACAAACAGCATATCAGGTTTATGATGTCTATGCCCGAGACTTCCAGAACAACAAAATATTTGTAATGAAGTGGAGATGGGCTCTGAGGAATAAACTATCTTTTCACTTTTTGTCTCCAACTTCTTTGTTGCAATGAAATCATAGTCAGAAAAACAAAAATAGTCATATGATGTGAAATATAGATGGTACCGTGATGTAGCAAGGTCCTTTAAAATTCAAGGAAAACACTATCAATTGTCTTGAGTTTTTCCATCTCCTCCTCACCGGCAATTCCAGGATCAACATAACACAACTGAAATAGAAACAAGATCATCAAGCTTCATCATACAATGTTGCAAGGCAATTACAATTTGGTTAAAAGAAGAAAAATAACCTGGTATTGTGGCTTCTTTAGTGTGTGCACTCCTCTTTTTATGAATTTCTGCCATCCAACTTTCACCCTAAGTGATCTTTCTAGAGCAGCCGTTCTCTATAATGATAAGTCACATTTTAAAGGATGTCATGCCATCATTACTACATAACAATTATGTTCAAAATTAATTCTTTTAATAATCACACTTGCACGCACACAAAATTGAAAGAGAGAGAGAGAAGTAGGAAGAAAACATATCTAAACCTACTTCAAATTGCATATCCTTACCTGTAGAGCTATAATAATCCAAAGAATACAACCAGTTACCAGAAAAACTACCAAAAAAGGATCGTAGGCATATTTGGATAATTTTTTTCATAAACACTTCTAAGAAGTGAAAAAAGAAAAAAAAATGAAATTTGTCTATAAGTTAAAATTATTTTTGCAAAAGCTAATTTGTTAAAGCTCTCTCATATTATCTTCACTAAAAACTTATTTTTAACTTGTAAAATTCCTCTCATTTTAACTTCACTGAAAATTTATTTTTAATTTATACATAAGTTAATTTTAGTTTAAGAATAAATTTATTTCATTTTTTCTTCATATTTTTTTTCTCCTAAAAGTGTTTTTAGGGAAGTTTATTCAAACATACTCTATGTAATGAGGGTTATAATTAAAACTGGATAAGCTTTGTAATTTGACCTGGGTTTCAATAGGTCAAGAAGCACTCATGATATGCTATTATATTACTCACAAACATCTAAAGAACAAAGAAAATAGGCCTTAACATGCAAATATATTACATGAGCAGGATCCAGAACCAGGAGATTATATTGCGGTGTTCCAGACCGTTGATATTTGACTTGAATTCCAACTATTGTTCTTGAATGCCCATCATGTTGAAAGTACAAGGGCCTGTCCAAGAAAAGCTTTCTATACTTAAAAACACCATAAAAGAACACAATTATTTGCTTGGTTAGAACATGTGTACCTAAAATGCACCCTCACTTACGTTTTCTCACTGATAAGAACACGCTTGTGGCCAAATTGAACTGTGTCTTTATGAGAAAAGTAATTCCACACAAAATCCATAAGAACTTGATGACCCTCATTTTGTTTTGCACTACTGCTTACCGCTCTATCACCACTATTTTCTTTATCAACAGTGTCACGAATCCGGATAAGAGAAGAACATGACTTTGCATCTTGGCTACAACCAGCTTGAGCAACACCACGAGACACATATCTATCCATTGGTCCACAAGTATTTGGTGCTTTCCTCTTCCTTCCATCATTGGTTGTCACTAGCTCCTTTGCCCCAACACTTGAACCATGGACAGATAGATAGAGTGCTTCAGATTCCTTGGGACCAAAATCCACTACCCTCACTCGGAGACCAAAAGAACGCAAAAGGGCAGCACATTCAGTAGCTCCAATCCATTTTTTTGAGCCATAGATGGCATGGTTAAATTGATCAGAGCCAGGTGCATCAAAACCCCTTTCCCAAGCAATCTCAAGCCACCTCTGGAGTGATAGGATATCAGGGACAAACCCTGAACCACCAAACATGGCTTCTCTTGCTTCTGGCCTTTGTGCCAGCAAGTGTGAGCTAAGCATTTGAGTGTTACGCCAACCACAACCCCATCCAACATCCTCAAACTCAAGGCTCTGGAAATGATCAACATAACCTGACAAAATGCTTCTCGAGTTTTCAGCCTCAGACTCCAAACAGTTTCTCAACAATTCCATCAAACCCTTCTCAACCTTGTAAAACTCTCCCCTTCTCTGCAAATCAACCAAGCAAGAGATCTTTTCATCCATTTTCCACACCCCATTATCTCCACCACTCACACCATCGCCACACCAAATGTTACAATCTCCAGAAGCTGTATCAAGACGGTTGTCACTAGCCTGCAGAATATGAAACAACACAACACAAACCCTTACGTGTCATTCTTCTCCTGCCAAACATATGAAAAAGTGGTCCACTTTAGACCATAAATGAAAGATAATAAAAACCTACTTCAACTAAAATTCACTTCCATTGATGATAAAAACTTGCACTTCAACAAAAAGGGGTAAATAAAAGACAAAAGACCATTCGATCTAATTGAGCAGAAATTGTACACAAAATCACATTGTAAACCCATGTGGGTAAAACTTACTTTCATCAGCATCCACAAAGTGAACCACTTTCAAAAGGGGTTAAAAAAAATTGAATTTTTATTTTTTGAGATTTTCATTAAAAGCAAAGAGGTGAGTGAGGTGAAGAGTGGGAATGAGAAGGAAAAAGGGGTACCGGAGGAGAATGATAATTTGCATCGTCGTCGTCGAAATGGGAGTTGGCATGCCTGCAATTGAATTGAAGCAGTGTCACTCATCATGAAACGTATCAAATGGGAAGGCAAAGAAGAGAAGAGAGAAAAAAGAGACCATTGGAGTTGGGAGGAAGGAAGTGATAGATGACAGAAGGGGCAAGTGGATGAATCCATAACCATCTTCATCAAATCAAAATTGAAAAGGCTACAATGAGATCTCTTCAATGGCGAAAGCCTCTTCCTTTCAAATTCGTTAACGGCGGCAACCACATTGCTTTGTCCCGCCGATCCTACCAAATTTTAAATTTGTTAAAATATATTTTTAATTCATTTAAAAATCATGGAATAAACAAAATTTAATTTTAATCCTTTTAAAATCATTTTTATCTTTTTCAATTTTATAAATATTAAATTTAATTTAAAATTTAATATTTTTTATCAATCAAAATTATAATAATTATAACTATGTAAGTTGTAGATTATTATAATTTTTTTAAATTATTTCATGTTATTAAGTTAGATTATTGTTCAATGTTAAGAAACTCTAGGATTTAAGGATCTTTTAAAAATGTTAATAGTGACAAGAGTTTCTCTTGATAGAGAATCAATTTGATCCTAAGAAGAAGAGTATATAATGTTTTTATTTAGAATAGAGTCTTATAAAAAAAATTTTCTCGTAATTCTAAAGAAAGGATTTTATAAAGAGGTGTTATGTTTGTGAGTTTCCTTCAACTCTAAATTTTCTTCTCTTTCATTCTTGATCTTTACTAGTGTTGTATTGTTGTTAGATTCAAGTTAGTAGTTGCTAAAATCAGTTGAGTGAGTTGTAAATTTTCAAGTTTTCTTCTGCTCCTTCCTCAGTTCTCTTTGATCCCAAGCTAAGAGAAGTTGGGTTCTCGCTCTTAATGGAGTTAATAAGTTGTTGAATGATATATAAGTTGTATGTTGCATGAATCCTTCTGAAATTTGGAGTTGTGTTGATAAAGTTGAAATTATTTTTGGTGGGAGTTGAGGTTTTGGGTTCATGATGAGAAATGTGATGATTTGTTATGATTTGTGGTTGCATGTTGATTCTAAGTGCATATATGTGTTGGTTGTGATGTTTATAACTACTATTTGATGTTGCATGTGTTAGATTTTTGCTGGGATTCAGGTTTTGACTCAAAATTGGGTTCTACATATACATAATTTTAATACCATGGCGGGTATGCCTTCATGGCAATGGGTGTTGTTCCAACTTAAGGATCTCTATCTCAATCACATCGGGTGTAAGATCGGTGACATTGGACGTGAGGATAAAGACTCGTCTTGAGTTGATATGATGTTGGAGTGATTTGAATGGTGTCGGATGTGAGAACATTGGAAGATCTCTAACTTGGTGACGTTGGCCCAAGGTTGAGTGGCGCTCAGAGCCAAGCCAAAGCTTTCTGCCTGAGTGATGTCAAGTGCTAGGAAAATGACATTAGGTGTAAGTTAGACAAAGACTCTCTACCTAAAACAATGTTGGACATGACACTTTGTCACACTAGGTGCAAGGTCCTAAGGGTCTCTATCTTATCCATGTTAGGTGTAGGTTGTGTTGCATCGAGCATGGGTGAGACAAAGAGTTCTCTATCTTGATGGTACTAGGCATTGCGCATGTGGCGCCAATGTTGGTTGTTGAAGGGTAACATGTTGATGTATTTGATGAAGTGTTGAATACTTGTTGATTGAGTTATTAGATGACTAAATGATAATGAATAAGTTGAAAGGATAATGTTGTATGTGTTGATTTCATTGTGAGTTGCTAGTTGAAAGTTGAAATGAGTTGTAAGTTGTGTAGTTGTGTTGGATTTGCTATATGCATGACATTGTTGTGTTGTTGAAATGATGAATCTTGAGAATGCTTTGGACATTTAGGCATGGTGTTGTTGTGTTGTGATGACCAACCTAGGACTAGATGAGAGGTTTTCAAAGTTGCATATCTCATTATGTGGATATTATGTTGTGGTGTTCTAAGAGCCTAATTTGTTGAAAACCCCTTCTTGAAAAGCCGACCCTTGAAGTGGATAGTTGTGTTGAATCTCCTATAGGACTTAATTAGTACCATGTGTAAACAAGGACACATGTATAAAATGACCACAATATAAGGGTCAAGTCAAGTTATACTAATTACAAGTAATCAACTAAGAAAAATATGAAGCCCGTAATTTAGTTCCTAACCAAGCATCAGAAGGATGTAGTACTTGGAGGATAATCTGTGGGGTAATTCCATAGAATACTTAGCTAAACTAGTTAATATCATGGTAGACTTATACCCAATTGTTCTATTCAGATAGTAGTAGTATTAAACTTTCTTGTTTAAGTGACAACATCTAAAAAACCAAGTTGTTGTGTTATGGATTTATATCCAATTTGTTATTGATCTAGCAAGCCCAACAAGATCACTCTATGTTGTTGTTTTAGTAGTGTTAAACCACTTAAATTATTCATCTCGTGTTATAGGAGATCTCTTAATTGAAATGTGTGATGACACATATAATTGTGTTGTTGTGATGAACAATTTGAATTGTTAATATTATGATGCTTGGGTTGATATTGTGCTATCGTAGACTGTGTTGTTCATGTTGATATATGTTGGTTGTTTGGTGATGATGCATGTTGATAGTGAAAGAGATGAAATGTAGATGTGTTAACACATTAAAGTTATTGAAGTTTTTATGTTGCACGTTATATATATGTAGATGTTTTAAAACTCTAACTTACTCTTACGTGTTTTCATGTAGGTTGGACTACGATAATCATATATGGTATGATAGTAGGTAAGGATAGGTATAAAGTTATTTAGTGGAGGCCATCTAGTGGTGTTGGAGCCGAGTGTTTTCTGTTGATGACTACCTTTAAGTCGTTCTTGTATAAATCATAGAAGTTACTTGACTCAACTTATTGTACCTATTTACATGATTATTGTACTTATATTGCACTTATTTATATAGTTATTTTATCCTTACATGTATACAATACAGTACATGTATAACTCTAAGTTAATAAATGTTCTGCAACCAATAATTATGTTGTTTAATGTAGAGATTATGACAAATTATTAGAATAATAACATCATTTTTGTATGTTTGACAATTTCGACATTAAAATTCAAATTTAGGCCTTACACATCACATATCCTACTTTTTACTTTACCAATTTCCCAAGTCAGTATGGGGAAGAAGCTATGCGGAGTGTTTTCACCAGGTGGGGAACAATCAGAAACCTTTTTATATCTGGTAGATTGAATAGAGGTGGTCAACGTTTCGGTTTTGTTACAATTGGTCCAACGGAAGATGTGTTTTCTTTGGAACAAGAATTAGATTCTGGCTGGATAGGTACGTTTAAACTAAGGGTGAATGTGCGGCGGTTCGATAGGAGGCAAAAGGATCAAGGCATGTTGATCTCACAAGAGGCGGTGATCGGCAAGGAGGGAGATGCGGTACAGAATAAGGCTATGATTTCAATGAAATCACCTGTTCCAAAGGCAGATCCGAAGCCAATCGTTTCTCAGGTTACTAAGGAGGTGTGGAGGGTGAAAAAGTCAGTGAAAGGAGAAGGTTGTGTCTTATCTGATTGGCATGGATTATCTTTTCATGTGGAATCAGAGGAGGTAGAAATGTTGGAATCGTGTTATGTGGGCCGAGTTTCAGCGCCAGAATTAATTTATGTGTTGCAAGATCGTTTGCTTAGAGACGGCCTGTCGTCGTTTACTGTAGTTCCCTTGGGAGGGGATACAGTGCTGCTTAAACCTTTGCCGGGTGAAGCGTTAGAAGAGTTGGTGAAGGACGCCGAATCTATGTTGGCAAATTATTTTGTTTCGTTCTCGAAATGGAAGCCTGAGGAGGTGGCTACGGAGAGGCAGGGTTGGGGTCGTTTGAAGGGCGTTCCGGTTCATGCGTGGAAGGGTAGCTTTTTCAGTCTTGTGGCTGGCACAGTTGGTTCTTTTTTAACCTTGGACGAGTTCACGACGCGTCAAGCTAGATTGGACGTTGCAAGGATACTGATTTGCACTTCCAAGTGGACACCCATTAATAGGACATTGGAGGTGAAGATTAATAATTCAGTCTTTTTGATTCAAATGGTGGAAGAAATATTTACGCCGGTGGATTTTTGGAACACACGTAGGCCGACAACTAAGGCTCATTCGTCGGAAGTCGATTCAGAGTGGTGGCTACAAAGATGGGAGGCGTTTGAGGATCAAATGTTAGATTCAAATTCTGAATATCAAAATTCTGAAAGATTTTCTTTCGGCGCTGACACTGTAGACCCAATTCATGTGGAGGATCAAGTTAAAATTTTAAATGCTGAGGTGAGAGAAATTATGGCAGGTGCAGATTTGATGGGCGACAAAGATTCTCACAACGCTTGCTTCGAAGTGCCGTTGAAAGTAGGATCGCGGGCAGAAAAGTTTGTTACGACATCGGGTGGTGTGAAGAGCAATGTGTTAGGTGTGGACAGAAATGTTGTTTTTGAACCTATTGTGGGTCATATGTCATTGGGTGAAGGAACACATTCTTCTCAGGCGGTTGGTTTTCAAGCGTGTTCATTGCCTCCGAAACGGAACGACCATGTAAATTCCTCCAATCATGTTTTGTCCCCTCTAAAACATCAAGACGGTGTGATGGGGTCACGTATTTCCTACAAGAATCCTGTTCGTGGATTGGTAGATGGTGAAGGTGATGTTGTGCGTGAGGAGGCATGTGGTGTTTTGAATGCAACTGATCCTGAAGGTCACAAGGTGGTCGTGAGTCATGCTAATTTGGTTGGACAATCGGTGGGTTTTGGCATGATTAGGGAGGGGTTTGGGCAAGGTTTGACGAACCTTGAAGATGGGGATGTGGGTGTGCTTGATGGGGTTCCTAGTGATCCCGGGGTCAGTAAGGTGATGAACACTGGGGGAGAGGATGTCGGGCAGGAGGTTAGTAAGGTGGCAGTAGGCGGTCTGGTGGATGGTGGGGTGGAGTTTGGTGGGGTAGAGGCTGGCGGGGTGGTGAGCGACGGGATGGTGGTCGGTGATGTGGTGGTCGGCGAGGTGGTGGCTGGTGGGGTAGAGGTTACTGGGTTAGAGGTTGGTGTGGTAGGTTCGGTGGCAAAGAGGGGGATGGACCAATATGTTAGTGAGGTGATGGTGGGAAGCATCTCGGGCGTTCCATGGGAGGATTTTGAGAAAAATTTGTTGAACGTAGAGGTGGAATATATGCTTGAGGATCGTGGGGTGCGAAGGGGGAGGCCTCGAAAGGTGGGAAAGAAAGGTAGAATTGGTGCAAAGTCAGAGGTTTTGCCACAATCTGGAAATACTGGCTTCATAAGTCTTTTATTGTTCCTAATAAGGTCCTAGAGCCGAGTGACCATGGTCATCCACCCAATCTGAAGAAGTCAACCAATCAAAGTCAACAATCACTGCTCATTTTGCGGAAAGGAACTGTTCACTGTAGCGGAAGCGGAAGTGTACTGTTCACTGTAGCGAAAAACTTCATTTTATTGTTGTAATAGTAAATTTAGTTTTCCTATAAATTTGAATCCTGCCCACATTGTAAGGCAGAACTTGGAATCAAGTGTAAGAGAGCCTAGAGTGAGAAACTCCTCCTTCTCTCTTGCCTTTGTAATTTCTCTTCAATCAATACAATAATTTTGTATTAAACTTATTTTGTATTTCATCTTCATAAAATTTGTTGTGAAAACCTGGGATTTGTAAGCCTGATTCGTCAGGTGTGCCCTTGATATCCAGTATTGTGCGGATTTCCGCAAAAGGAGCAGTGTCATTTTCTTCATAAAAGTGCTCTGGAGATGGTTCTTCTTTTGGACTGAAATAAAGAGGTGAGTTGATCATTTCCAGTTGATCATGTTCGCTTTTTTCTAATGCTTCACACTGTTTTTGCCTTTTCTAGTTGATCATGTTCTCTTCTAGATTCGATAAAGCTTCTGGCGTGAGAGAGAGGGTGCAAGACACCCTCTCTAGTCACCGCAACGAGTTGATCTCTCTTCTCTCCAGGTGAAAGTTAGAGTTGTGATTTTGGCAACCGGGTATTCTTAGATTCTTCGTGAATGATAAGTATGTGTGTGATAATAACTACTATTTTTGTTGCAAAGGTATGTTGTTGTGGGCAAAGGAATACTACAATCACATGACCTGAGGCACGAGGTAGAAAAGATTCTTGAAGAGGATGAAGGGATGTGGAAACTCAAAGATAGCCCCTTTGTCAAAGAGCTAGAATCTGCAAAGGTTAGCTAAGTATATTTTCGTAAGTTATAGCTTTGATAAATGACATACAATAGTTGAATTTTCTCGAGTTTTCCTTGTCATTGCAGTTTTTAAAAAGCTTTTGTTCCTGTTATTGCCACAGGAAGCCATAGTTATACCTCCTTTTGTGTCAATGGCTTTGCGTCCAAGACCTGGTGTTTGGGAGTATGCTCGTGTTAATGCATTTGAACTCAATGTGGATAATCTGAGTGTTGCAGAATATCTACGATTCAAAGAAGAACTTGTAGATGGGGAGTAAGGGTTATCTTTGTTATGTGCATTATTTTCTGCACTACTTTTTGAATTTATTCTTTACCATCCCCCAAAGTGTTGAATGAAATAAATGAATTGCGTGGCATTCTATGGTTTCAGTTTGGCTTCACAGAGAAATGAAATTATTACATGATGATTTTTGAAAATTTGATCCAGGTGCAATGGCAAAAACGTGCTTGAAGTAGATTTTGAGCCATTTAATGCAACATTCCCTAGACCAACTCGATCATCCTCTATTGGTAATGGGGTTCAATTTCTCAACCGTCATCTATCATCATTCATGTTTCGTAACAAAGAAAGTTTGGAACCTCTCCTTGCTTTTCTTCGCGCACACAAATATGATGGCCATGTAAGTTTGTCTAAAAGCATCATTCAATCATTTAGAAACAGTGATATTTATTTGTAGAAATTTTGACCGATGCCCAGAAATCTTAAAATATCAATATAAAGATATATTCGTTCGATGGTGAAGATTTGTTCTTTTATGGTTTTGACCATGTAAGTTCCTAGTTTACCCAGTTTTGTGCCTGAGCTTTGATACTTATGTGGTACATGTTCAGCCTATTTTTGACCATGTAAGTTCCTAGTTTACCCAGTTTAGTGTTTGTGATGCAAATACTTTTTTCTTTTTTTCTTATTCTGAACTGTTTTGAACAGGTATAATAAAAGTCTATTAGGAGATCATATGGGAAAGTTCCCAGCTCCTTTTTTGATGAATACCATCCACTTTACAATTAGTTTTCCTTATGCAAATTGTTAAAGGAAATCAGGTATCAAATAAAGTCTTTAAAAAATTGTAGATTTTATTGTCCAAGTAAAAGTTCAAATCTAATTTGTTATTATTATAATTTCAGGCAGCTGAATTGAAATCTCCAGTAGATTTGAGACGTTCTTCTCAATCTAGCCATGTTCTTGAAGATAATGGAGGATCACCATGAGGAACTATTTAGAAATTTGCTTCAATTTTAGTTTGTTAGGAGCTTTTAGAACCATCTTTATATTTTTGTTGTTTTTATGTACCTAAGTTTCTTAAACTTAAGGACCATTTCTATGTTTGAAAGATACAAAATTTGGATTTAATATCTTTATTTAATGAATGACATTTTTATTTGCATCATTTATTTTAGTTTATCTTGATCACGTGTTTGAGATGATAATTTAAACAAATAGGTTGAAAATGTAATTATAAAAAAACATTTAATTACAAATTGGACGCGAAATAAATTGTGGCAGTTAAAAATTGCTACAAATTGTTAATTAAAATGCATGTTTATATTTGCGGCGGTTTCCAAAACTGCCATTACTTTTTAACTAGTTTCAGTTTTCAAAATAGCGACAATTTTATAACTGCCGCAATTTTATCAATTATGTTGCGGCTGTTTCAAAAACCGCCGCAAAATGTAGTCGCGACGCATAACATTACGGCGGTTTACAAACTGTCGTTATATAAGTTTGCGGCGGTTAAAACCGCCGTCGCTTTTACTAAAAAACCGCCGCAAACATACAAGTTTTTTGTAGTG